AAACATGAAGAGGTTAATTGGTGATTCTAAATTGTCCGTAGGTGTGAATGTGAGTGTGCTTGGTTGTCTGTCTCTAAGTGTAGCCCTGTGATAGACAGGCGACCTGTCCAGGGTGTCCCCTGCCTTCACCCTAAGTCAGCTGGGATAGGCTCCAGCCCAGTCTCTGGTCACATTTCACCACCTGTTGAGGCTCTAACATCAGTAGAACCTGATGTGGTGAAGTTGGACCAGACAAGGTTCTGGTTTAGATATTTAGACTGAATGATGATGTGGATCTGTGTTCTGTCCCATGAATGAGTCCACATTAGTGTGTTGACATGTCAGCGTAGAGAAAAACTGGACCAATGGAAACAAGACAAAAAACACGAAACGACAAACGGCAGAAAAAAAAGAGCCCCTAAAACAGCACACAAGGTGACCGAGCTGTGGTCTGTTGTCGGCACTGAAGGGCCTCACCTGGTTCTGTCTCAGCGTGGGCCCCGAATGAGTGCCGTTGAGTCTGATGAGGACTGGGACATAGAGAGGGACCAGGTGGAGCCACTCTCGTGGTTACACAGGAAACAGGCCGGATCGGAGTTTGATTCCTGAACATTTATCTGACATGACAGAAAATGTCCGGTTTACCAAAATAAATGACGTTTTTTACAAAATTGCAAATGTTTGTGTGTGACGAACGAATGACGACAAAAGAAATAGGACCTGAGTCGAGGTGGTTCCTGACTCCAGACCTCAGACGTCTACAGGTTAAAGTGAAGAGTAGAACATCTTTCCCACCACAGAACACGACCGAATCAGCTCATGTGCTTATGTTTCGCCTCCTGCAGTGCTTCGACGGTATCCATGGTAACGGGTCGTGCAGCTGCCGGCCCGGTCTGACGGGCGTCGCCTGCCACATCTGCTCCGATCCGACCAAACACGGAGAACACTGTGACGAAGGTACCGGCAGAACCCAAATCTAACAGAACCGATCCAGATGAAGCCGCAGAGTCACTGTTTGATCCAGAAAATAAGGTTCTGGTGCTGGTTCTGAGCCTTTCAGCCACAAAACAACAACAACAAGCACAACAACAACAACACAACAACCACGACAAAAACACAACAACAACACAGCAACAAAAACACAACAACACAATAACAACAACACAATAACAATAACAACACAACAACTACGACAAAAACACAGCTACAACAACACAACAACAAAAACACAACAACACAGCAACAACAACACAATAACAACACAACAATAACACAAGAACAGCACAACAACACAACAGCAAAAACACAACAACTACTACAACACAACAACAACAAAATAACAACAACAACAACAGATCTCAAGACTGCATGGTAAGTACCTGATAAGGGTTCTGTTTTCAGCTGGTTCTTAAGGAACCAAACCGAGAAGTCCAGTTTCCTTCGACTGAGGCTCTGAGGGTTGATGACTGAGAATTCACTTGGACATGCGGTTAGCATGCTGTGTAGCTAATGTGGCTAACGTTAGCAGCTAAGTAGCTTGTCCGTTACTCTCTGTGCTCCCATAAACTGCATTTGATCAGCTGAAGCCGTTTGCTCCGTGACTATGATCCTGGTTTAAGTTCTTGACAGTTTCTGTGGCTTTAAATGAGCTGCTGCTGGCCCCGCCCCCTGCTGTTGACCCCGCCCCCTTCAGGAAGAAAGCTGTCTGTCTGAACCCATGTCCTCCCTGTGTGTGTCCTCAGAGTGTCGTTGTGTTCACGGAGTGTGTGACAACCGTCCAGGCAGCCGAGGCGCTTGTCGCAGAGGATCCTGTTTGGATGGATTCTCTGGAGATTTCTGCGATAAGATGGCGACACCTTGCAACTCCGATGGTCTGCTGGAACACTGCCACATCCACGCATACTGCACACACACAGGACTACACACAACGTAAGGAACACATCTACACACAGGACTACACACAATGTAAGAAACACATCTACAGACAGGACTACACACAACGTAAGGAAACAAATTGACAAAATGACAAAAATAATCCCCCAAAAATTAAACATTCCCCAAAATGATCAAAACGATCCAAAGTGTTTCCACCATCGTCAAGAACGACTCGGACCTTGTCTGAAATGACTCGATAGTTGTCTGATTGACGAAAACAACTGTGTCCAAAATTACAACCAACTCCAAAATACTCCCAAAATCATTCAAAAATTCTCCAAAGTAAAAAAACGTATCCAAACTGACTCAAAAACATGTTGAATGTGGCAGAAATTTGTTAACGCTGACTTGAAGCTTATTCAATACGACAAACATTTCTCAGAAATCAACTCAACTGTTGAAAAGGACTTGTGTGAAATAACTCAGACGTGGTCCAGAAGTAACTCAGAAACTGTCCGAAAAGACCTGAAAAGTCCAAACACAGCACTTATTGAAAATGGCTCCACAAAGGTCTACCGTGACTCGAACACTCGTTGCTCAGGAGTCCAACAGAATGGCTGTCAGTTTGGTCAGAAGCTGCTTCGTCGTGGCTTCCATCACTGATTGGCTGACGTCACCTCGTGCACCGTTGCATTCGCTGCTGTGACTCGATGCTCAGAAGCTGTTTGTTCTGCAGGTGTTTGTGCAGAGATGGATACGAAGGCGACGGACACTCGTGTTCCCCCGTCAACCCCTGCAGCCGGACCGACCGGGGAGGCTGCGACGCCAACGTGAGGCCTTTTAATGCTGTTCTAACTCATGTGGTTCATGTTTCTGTGCAACATAAAGTCCTGAGTGCTGAACTACGAAGACAGATCAGTGGGTTATCGAGTTATGTTGAAGCCAGAGTTCTCAGTACCACGAAAGTGGCT